AAAAATACTGTTCACATGTTGAAATGCTGACCTTGGATGTGTTAGACTCATGAAAATACCTTATTTTACCTGCTGGTTACTAGAACATTTTCCATGCATGATGTAAGTGGACAGGCCAGATGGTGCCCAGCCCCACACCTGTGAGGGCTGGAACTCAGGGGGAGGGTGTTGTCAATGCCTTACTGCTGTCTACAAAGCAGCCTGTAGGGAAGTCTGACTCTACCCCTGCCCAGCAGACCCCAACAGCCAGTGGTGGGAGAGGGGCAGGCAGAGAATGGGCACTTCTGGTCCAATCCTGGCCCCAGGAGACAGCTGGGATCCTAGCACCTCATTCCTTGAGCTTCTTTCCCACCGGATCTGATGGCCCCTTCTCCCATGGCAAATCAGAGAGGAGTATGAGCCTGGTGTCTGGAGGAAAACACGTTGTACTTACCATCACTTTGAAGAGGAGTGACAGCAGTCAGGAGGTCTGTTGGCCTGATCTGAAGTCGCAGCTCCCATCCCGGCCTCATGCCGGCTCCGTGGGGATGACCCCTCTGGTCTGGGCTGGGTCTCCTCTGTGCAGGTGGCTGTGAAGACCGGGCATCCACTGCCAGATGGGGATCTTCCAAGCAAATTGGAGGGTGTGAGCCCAGGCTGGGGAGCTCCCCCGGACCACACGGAAGGGTCCCTGCTCAGCTCACACTCTGCTGAAGCTGCCTTGAAGCTCAGAGTAGCTTTTGCACAGGGAGCCTGCATTTTCCCCCTTCACTGGGCCCTGGGAAATGACCACGTCAGCTGTGCGCCTGGGGCGTCTTCAGGTTAAAAGCAGAGACGAATCACCTGCAGATCTTGTTGGACTGCGACTGCCTTAAAGGGGCAGGGGCCTGCTTTGAGGTCCAGGGTTTCTAGGACGCTCTCAGCCATTCCTGGGCTGTGTGTTCTGGGCAGTATCTCAGTTTCCCAAAGAGCTGGTAGAAATCACAAGTCCACAGGGCCAGTGCCTTGGAGTAGTGAGTAAAGCTGCTTTCTATTGGGTGCCAGGTGAAATGGCGCCGGCTCCACTTCCCACCCAGCTCCTTGCTGATGGCCTGGGAAAGCAGTGGAGGCTAGCCCAAGTCCTTGGGCTCCTGCACCTACATGGGAAACCTGAAGAAGCTCCTGACTCCCTGCTTTGGACTGGCTCAGCTTTGGTCATTGTGGCCATTTAGGGAGTGGACCAGTGGGTGGAAGAGTTTCTCTAATTCTACCTTTCAGATAAATAAATCTTAAAAAAAATAAGAGGAGTTACATGTCCGGGCAGCAACCCAGACCCACTTACTCAGACTTCCGACTTGAGTGGTTTACAAGCGCTCCAGGTGACCCCACTACTTAGCCACAGGCTCGAGGATGGTGCTGCTCGTGCACCACCTGGGAAGCTTGTTTAAGAAAGCACCTGAATCGCTGTGTCTCTGGGACATGCATGGCTACAGGCCACGCTGAGACTGAGTGCACAGGGATCACATTCCAGCCTCTGTCACTTCCCATCAGCATTAGAGCAGGGACTGAAAGAACAGCCAACACCAGGGGTCTTGGGACCTTATGCAAATCTGTATAGAGTTCACTGAAACAGAGGGTCACGTCTCCCACTGTGTGCACCTGTGTGGGACCAACATTACACAAGGGAACAGCATCCAAGTCTGTGCACACGTCTGGCTGGACAGCTACCTGGACAAGTTCCAGCAGAGGGCAGTAGAGTGTTTTAAGGAAGGGACATGCTCACCCAAAGACTTCATAAAGATGGACAATTATTCTCTGCCAGGTCAGTGTGGTACATTACTGGCCCAGACCCAGACCCAGCAGAGAGAAGGGCAGCCATCTTGGCAACACACACACACACACACACACACACACACTCGCCTGCTGAAATCCATGAACACAATCACTACAAAGTATCCATTTCAGGGGCAGAGTATTGACAGCCCTGTGTTACTGCCATCTCTGGTTCCAAAACATTCCATCACCCAGTAAGCAGATCCTGATACTCTTCCCCCAGGCAGCCCCTGCAAACATGCATGTGCCCAGCTCTCTGCAGGTGGCCACTCTGGATACTTCACACACACGGATCCTGAAGGGTGGCAGGTCTTCTGTGCGTAGCTGCTTTCACTCAGCATCACGTTTCAGGCCGTCCTCTGCTGCTGTACCAGGTGCATTAGCAAGGAGCTGAATCAGAAACGGAGCAGTCAGGAATTGAACCACTACCCCATGGGAAGCTGGGATTGTAGGCAGTGGGGCTTAAGCCACTGTGTCACAAAATGCAACCTCTAGCACCATGTTTTTGAGGTTTGTCTGTTGCAGCCTGGGTCAGAGCTTCCCTCTTTTTACTGATCAGGTAATATTCCAGTGCCTCTCTATAGTGCACTGATATACACATTCCCTGCGTAGCAACATTTGTTTCCAAGTTTAAAGTTGCTGTGTAACGAGGGATGCAAATCTTACTTGCGAAGTCCCATGAAGGCAGGACCCTCCATGTGAACACAGAAGGAGGCGTGCATTGCCTTCACCTCAGATGCCCCTCCCAGGCCTTCCCTGTGAACAGCAAGCACTGGCGTGACCTTGACGGTCACAGATGACTGGTGCCTGTTTGGGAACTTCCTATAAACACAGTCACCCAAGTGCGTCCTCATTTGTGTCTGGCGCCTTCCATAAACACACTATCCACCCCACTCCTCCGTGACCGTGTGTGTGTGTGTGAGACCTGCTGCTGCTTCTCTGGTTCTGCAGAATTTCGTCATACAATTTGTCAATATTTATTCCTGCTGTGGACAGAGATGTGTGTGGTTCCACTGGATGGCCAGCCCACAGTTTGTTTATTCATTGTCCGTGGACATGTGGGTCGCTTCCACTTCTTCGCTAACGTAAACTGCACGCTTGTCAGCATCCCTGTTTGTGTCTGCTGGCAGACGCCAGGGCTCAGTTCTCTTGGGTGCACACCCAGCAGAGTGGCCAGGACATAGGGTAGGATGTGTGAAGTCAGGAAAGGCACTTTCCCAAGGGGGTCAACCTGTGTACATTGCCAGCAGCTACCAACCCCGACTCTGAAAAATGCCTGCTGACTCCAAGCCGCCCCTCTGCCACTATGGGGCCTGGCAGTTGGAGCAGGTGGCCAGAGTCCCTTTGCCAGGTTTTCCCTTCAAAGAGTCTCTCCCTTGAGCCAGCTCACTCTCAGTCTGTTCTTGGCTGAGGGCTGTGGCCTACCCTCAGGGGCAAGCTCGGGAATCTGGCAGGCATTGACAGAGCCCCTCCTTCCACACCCATCACCATGTGACCTGAGCACAGGCCCACGGACTTCCGTTCACCAGTTGAGCAACACCCACAGTGACCCCAGTCCCTGCTCACTGCATGACCCAGCCTCCCTAACCTCTCCTTCTCCAACCATGAGGCCCTGTTAACACTTGCAGACTCCAGGAGAAGACCACGAGTTCAGGTCTACAAAACCCTTGTGACTGCGGCTGGCACAGGGTGGGGCTACACCTGCTTTGTTTTAAAAAATGAGCAAGGTAATGGCTACTTTCCCTACTATTCCCACCCCTGAAGCAGAGGAGGACTGACAACACTTGGTGCCCCACAGCATGATCTGTGCGGAGCCCACCCACCCAGGGAACCCTGGAGGCCACCTCCACCTGCACACAGTTCCTTGCATATGTGAGCAAGGATCTGAAATGAGACCGCCGTGCATGTCTGGAGTCAAAGGGGCAGTGGTGCTGCCAGAAGCCAAGGAGCACCAGGAGAGAATGCAGCCCACCTTCAGACCTCTCAGTCCACGGGGGACTTGGGATGGCCGCCCTGGCAGATAAGACTCACTGAACCCACAGTCTATGGCCTCCCACCAAAAATCCTCTTATTCCCACTCTGAAAAGGGTGGGAAAGATGGCGGAGTAGGGAGGAAGCAGACTGAAGAGGCTGAGTCATAAATACCCCTAATGAAGTGGCTTAAAATAATACAGTCCGCAGGCTGAACGCTCCAGGCCCAGGTGTCAGCTGAGTGGGTCCCCTCTGGAGGCCGTGCGGGAGGCCTGCTCTGTGCCCTTTGCCAGCTCCAGGGGCTCACCAAGTCAGCTTGGCTGCTAGCCCCAGCTTCCCCACCTCCCGCCCCGCCCTGTGGGGCTCCTCTCTGTCTCTGCCTGCCCATGCCGCTTCCCTTCTGTCTCTGGGACCAAATCTTCTGTTTGCAGGACACTAATAACCTGGGACAAAGTGACCTCCTGTGACCTTCCCCTGGTGAAAACCCTGGCTGCCAATGAAGTCACATGCCAAGCTATGGGGACTCCACCCCCACAGACAACCTCAACCTCTTTGCAATTTGTCTCTGTCAAGATCATAGCCGGGCCCATCCCCCTCTGCTCAGTTCCCACGTGGATGATGCTCTGGTCTCTCTCGCTCTCTCCTTGCCCGAGCCCCTCATTACATTCTCAGCCATGGCTGCTGCCTCCTCCAGGAGGCTCACCACATGTGCAGCCTGACAGACACACCAGCTTGCTCAGAGTCCTGGCCAGCAAGTGCTACCGCTCCTGCCCTCACCAACGAATCTCTCGAGGTAGTGAGCGGGCACCTGGGCCCCCTCCATGGTCTATCCAGTGAGCACTCCCAGGCCTCCTTCCCCTCTCCCCACTCCCCTCTGAAAGGGGAGGAACAGAGGTAGAACAGGTTGAAGGGTCTCAACCATGCATGTACACGCCTGGCACAGCCAGCCCCGTAGTGGCCATCATGCAGCCGAAGCCATCTGGCCTGATGCTTGTGCTCCTGGAGCCTGCCCAGCATCTGCCAGTCCAGGGCCAAACACCTCTGCTCCATGTGCCTGCAGAGTGGGGTGATGGCGGCTAGAGGCCAGGGGTGCCACGTAAGCATCTAATTCAAACTGGACTGCCCCCTGCTGCCCCCGGCCTCAATGGGCAACAGCGTTGTGGGAGAGCCAAGGTACCACCACCTCCAGCCTGCGCCCCCTGCCCCGCACCCCTCAAGCCACACAGAGAGGCAGACGGTGATGAGTCACTTACAGTTTATTTTTGCCTGAAAGTATTTCACATCTCTTTGTACACAGCTACGCGACAGTAGTATTAACCACCAGGAAAAGCAACAGTGCGGGGGAAGGTGGCATGTCTCGCTTCTTCTTCTTCTTCTTCTTTTTAAAGATTTTTTTTGTTTGATTTTTTTTTTGTTTGTTTGTTTGTTTCGTTTTTTGTTTTTGCTTCTGCTTCTTCCTGCACCAGAGTGCTGTAAAGTATGGGACTAGAAGGAGGAAAAACAAAACCAAACAACGAAAAACAACAACAACGCGGAACAAAACACGAAACAGACACACTCACACACACACACGAAATAAAACCTGGCACAGAAAAGGAATTAAGACTGAATCCCAATTTCTCTTTTTTTTCCTTTTTTAAAAAAATGAAGGCATAGTAGGGGGGTAATAAAGTCTACCTAGCAAAGTATAAAACGACAAAAGCATGGTTTCCATTGAATAGGATTAAATAGATAAAAAACAATTACATCGACAGTGGGCGAGGCTTGGAGGTGCTGGGGTGTGGAGGGCAGGAAGGAGGGACATAATTGTGCTAAACCAACAGAAAAAGGGGCTGGGGGAAAGAGGGAGACCCCAAAGAAACCATCAAGGGAACTGTTCTGTACAGTAAGGGCTCATTAAGAAAAAGCCGACTGTTTTATAAAAGAAACGGAGGTTGGCTTGTCCTCGGCGCAGGGGTGGGGATGGGGCAGAGGGCGTCTGGGGAGCAGTGGTCACATTTACAGGGGAGGCTGGGCGGTCAGGCTGTTCTCTCTCTTCTCCCAAGAGACCATGCAGAGAGGCGGGCATGCATGAGGGGGCCACAGGGCACACACGATGGCGGGGAAGGGGACAGCGGAGAGCTCTCTGGGGGTGGGGGCCACGGGGAGCAGGTGGGAAGCCCCCCGCTTCCAAACCTGTAAAGGGGCCGAGGCAGAGGTCGGCTGGGAGGCGGCCACCCGCCCCTGGGGATGCACAGACGGACGGAGGAGAGCACATTAGAATCCATTATGAAAAAGCAAGTCAGTGTCCAAGGAGGGTCATCTTCCCTTTTTTTTTCATTTTTTTTTTTTTTGTCTGTTGTGTGTGTCTGTTTCCTTTAAGAAAAAAATAACAATAACAACTACCACTAACCCAACAGCTGGATGGTTTGTACAGTACTACACGGGGGGGGTGGGGGTGGGGGGGGGGACGGGAGGGGGCCAAAGACTTCATAAATAAGAGGCGGGTCCCAGACCCACAATTTGTCAATGTTTCTTAAATAGGTGCATTATTTAAATCTTATGTACAACAAGAACCACTTTGCATAGCAATGGTGAGTACACAGGACAGGTGCGATGGTATGACGAGGTCTTAGCCCACGCTTGGCAGCGGGCGCTCAGCTCGGAGCCTCCGGGGAGAAAGCGCCCTCGTCCCGCCTGTGGTGGTGGCTTTGGAGGTGAAGTTCCCCGCGGCGTTAAAACACAAAGGCAAAGAAAATCCACGAAGGGACCCTCCCCCCACCCCTCCCCGACCCGCTGATGCTCCTCTCGTTGCTACAAAGTCCGCTTTAGATCAGGTCAAAAGGTTCCGATGATGAAGCTAAAAGAATTAGGCGGGGGCTGGGCGTGCTTGTGGCCCCCTTCCCACCCCCACCCCCCTCCGCCCCCAGAAAGACTCCCCCATCATCTATCTTGCAGCCAGGGCGCTGGGCAGGACCCCAGAACTGGCTGCTCTACGGCTATGAGTCGAGAGCTGTTGGTCGCGGTGGCGAGCGTCCTCTTGCTGCTGGCAGCGTCACCAGGCCTCCGTGTAGCGGACATCCACCTCTTTCAAGTTGGGAAGCTTTGCCTGTGGGCGGCACGAAGGGGCCTCATCACGTGGGCTCTTCCCCTCTGGAGCCTGGCAGAGCTTGGCTGCACAGACCTGAGGTTCGGGGCCCAGCCATCCACTGCTATGGTGGTGTCCTTGGTTTTCTGGGGCTGTCACTCAGCAGAGGTCTGGAGCAGGGGTGCAGGGGTCCATGCTCCTGCCTCATGCAAGATGTTGGGACCTTGGGCAGACCACCCAGCATCTCAGAACCTCAGTTACCCCATTTGCGGGGGTGGAGCTGAGTCCAGGCCCTGGCTCAAAGGATGGCACCAACCACCAGTGCCCAGTGTCTGCAAGGCGCTGCTCTCATGTCTGCTGCTGGCAATGCCCTCCCACATCTCCCCACACAGGCTGCCCCGTGTCAGAGCCAGAGGCAGACTGCACCTGCCATTTCCCAGTGCTGCTTCTTGCTTCCTGCTCCTGCTATGTACAATGCACTTTGACCCTTGTAAGTAGCTGCCTTGGTTCTCAACACGTGCTCACTGCAGACAGGCAGCTTCCCCCACCATCCTGCCCTGGACAGCACTCTTCAGACACACACGCATGCAGTTACTCACTGCTGCTCTCCTGAGCTCCATAACCCTCTGCTGCTCCCACGGCAGTGCCATGCCGTAAAGTGTATTTAAGCTGATCTTTCTAAATCAGGAGGCTTAGGGTAGAATCTAAATTTCTAAGTTCTCTTGAAAAACTAGAAGATCTGGCCAGAAAGGGCAGTGCGTGGTGCGATGTTGCCAGACACTGAGTAGAGTCCTGTCCAAGGCCAGCAGCGTCATCTGTGTGTCTCTCTCAATTAGTCAACTGGCCATGACTTTTCTTCCTAAGCAGCTCCCCATCTCCTTTCCTGTTTGGTCTCCACAGTGCCTGGGGTTTTGGTAATCTGAACTCAGGTATGCCACAGTGGTGCTTCTCAAACTTCCATGTGCACAGCAATCATTCAGATTTAGCAGGTCCAGGACAGCCCTGGACTCTGCATCTCTGCCCAGCCCTGGGGGAAGCTACTGGCACTGCCAGGGGCCCACACTCTGTGGGTCCCTGCCTGCAGTCTCCAGCCCCTCTCCCCATGCTCTCTGAGGAGCACTGTCTGTTCTTGGTTCACTGGCCTTGATGAGCCCTGCACCTGCCGGGACTCAGTGTCCCCTGGGCAGGCCGAGGGGCAGCTGCACAGTGACGTCCCATCACCAGCATGGTCTGGCCCACAGCAGGTGCTCTGGGAGCGTCTGGAGGCCTGAGCCAGTGCAGAGCTGGCTGTTGGAGGCCCGGCCGGGCAAGAGGTGGCAGCCTCAGGGGCTGCCCAGATTCCCTGCTCCAGTGGGCCCTGGCCCAGGGCTCCCAAGGATTTCCTCTCAGTGGCTGCCAAGGCGCGAAGGTGCCAGGGCAGCTCCCAGGCGCCATCTGTGCTCTCCAGCCTTTGGGCCCAGCCCTTCCTTCCTTCCAGGAGGCTGACTCTGCTGGCCTCGCCTGCCCGTCTGGAGCAGCTGATGTGGGCTGGGAGGACAGCCCAGCTCAGTCCCCTCCGGATGTGCTGTGAACAAACCAAGTGTCCCTGTCTGTGTCCTGCAGACCCTCCTGCAGTGTCTCTGCCAGTCTGGCCTGAGCTCTGGCTGTACCATTCCTGTCAATTCTCTCCCTGTTCCTACTCCTGCCCTTTGCAGAAGTACCCATTTTCCCCAACGACACAGAACAGGCTTTTACACAGGTGTTCAACACCTGCTCAGAAGGTGCCATGCTGGCAGGGGAGAACCCTGATGTCTGAGGCTCCTTGCGCCCCCAGCTGAGCCACAAATCTCGTGCCCTCCATACCCCTGCCTGCTTGGCCTCTGTTTACAAATGGAGGCATGGATTCCTCATGGCTACCTTCACCTCCCCTTGGTTCTATGAGTGGGTGCCTATGGTGTGAGCCCACTTTGGCCGGAGGGAGCGCCCCAGGGGCTGGCACTGCCCTGGGGCTGTGGGAGGGATGGGAAACATTACCTTCAGGTCCTCATAGGTGTCCGCTGAGAGCTTGGTGCTGTTCATGTTCAGGCTGCAGAGACTCTTCATGGCTGTATACAGGCAGGTAAGGCCATTAGGCAGAGACGTGGGGGGCCCACCCGGGGACCCAGGGAGAGGCAGGGTGGGGTGGCACGGGCAGGAGTCTGTTTCAGACCCTTGCCGGTGGGCATGGCCTCCTGTTCTCTCTGTGCGTTGAGCTGCCCTCCCTGCTGCTCTCTTCCCAGCCTGCAGCCACAGAGCATGCAGGCCTGGCCTCGCACCCAAGGCTCCCTGCAAGCTCTCCTTGTGCCTGGGGCTCCTGCTTGCTGATGGAGGACCTCAAGCTTAAGTTTGCGTGGGGGCCACACAGGCACTGAATCAAGACACTGTCCACGCCCAGGGAGAGGAGGCCAGGGGATCTGCACTCATCCCCTCCCTACTGGGTGGCTCCAAGGAGCATGGCTGCAGGGCTTGCCCCAAAATGTCTTCCCCTGGTCCCATGAGCTGCCATCTGTACCACCCCCAAGCCACCAGACGTGGTTGAGTACTTCACCTCACTAGAGCTGGCACCAACTCCCTCTACACCTTGACCCAGGGTCACGACATCTAAGGTGTTGGGCCCGACCAGGCAGGGAAACAATCACAGGCCGATTCCCTGGCCTAGTGGCTCCCAGACCCCAGCTCGGCTTAGGCTCAGGGCCCAGCAACCAGCATCCCCAGGCTGCCTGAATGCCCATGGCTCCTGTAGCACAGTAACCTGTCTCAGCTTGCAAAGGGCACCAGAACAACCTGGGCATCGGGCCAGAATGAGGCTTCTGAGGCAGGAGGTGTGGGGTGGGGCCCAAGAATCTGCATTTCAGGCTAGGTAGGGTTGGGCAGTGGGGAGTCACTTTCCGAGTACTTGGGGAGTCACTTTCCGAGTACTTGGTGGCCACAGAGATGGCAGGGATGGACCCCGGCCTTTCTCTTCCCTCTAGAATGTAAGCTCCATCATGGCACGGCCATTCCCCCACCGCACTCTGCTGGCAGCTGGGGGCTCAGATATGGCTCCCTGAGTGCACACTGGTCCCCTGTCCCATGCAGCACCCAGACACTCACAGCTGAGGGCCAGCAGGCCGGCGTCGGTGACGGGGGTCTCGCACAGGTTGAGCACCTGGAGCATGGTGAGGTGTTCCGACAGGAGCCGCAGGCCAGCGTCTCCGAACTGTGGGACACACACACATGTGGCTGTCAGCCCTCTGCCAGCCACCCCCCGCGAGGTGATCCTGAGGCTGGCCTGGGGCAGACTCCCAAGACTCCAAGCCTGGGCATCTGCTCTCTCTGCCTCTCCCGACTCAGGGCTGAATGTAGCTCCTGCCCTGAGTCAGGGCCCAGCCTGGGGGTCGTGTGGCTACCTGCTAGGCAGGGCTCTGGACTTGGTGACCTCCAAGTCAGCTCAGTGGACACTGAGCACATCTTGGGTGCTTGTCAGGATAGTGGGAAGGTCCATGAGCCACTTGTACCCTGTGTGTGTGTTGGGGGTAGAGGGACTAGTGGCACCTGCTCCACTGCTCAACCTTTTGAGATAGCAGGGCCAGTGTTTTGCCTGGGCCTCAGGGTTCCCATCTGTAAAATGGGCTCTGGGGACTTCACAAGATCCTCTGTGTCCTCTGGCCTGGGGCAGGGTGAGAGAAGTGGGCCGTGCCGTAGGCCCCGAGGTTCCACACAGAAAGGCCATGGTGCAGGCATGGGCACTACCTGAGTGGACCACAGGTTGAGCTGCTTGAGAGAAGGCAGTTTGATGAGGTGCTCCGCGCAGGCACTGGTGACGTTGGTGAAGGCCAGACTGAGGTTCTCCAGGTTGCCAAAGGAGCCGGAGCTCAGCAGACGCGCCAGGTCAGCGTCCTGTAGACGGGGATGCAGGGCGCTAGGGCGGGGAGCCCATCCCAGGAGTAGCAGGGACAGAGAGGGGTTGGGCTGCCCCCTCCATTCCCGTGGACATAGGGGCTGGGCGGGGGAGAATGCCTCTGGGTCTGTGACTCACCCTGAGTCACCAGGCACCAAACACTGGGTGTTCCAAGGCCGCGTTCCTCCCACAAGCCTGTGTGCCTGACCCACTGCCCGCCTCTCCCAGGCAGTGGTATGTGCCCACACACAAACCCCAAGGCCACCTCAGCTCTGCTGCTGGAGGAGCTTGCGGCCTGCCAGAGTACTGGACAGCAAGGTCCCCAAGGGCAGTGTCTCATTCTCATCCTGGAGTTTCAGTTGCCATCTGCCTGCCCACAATGGAGGCTCATTTCCCAGGCTCCTTTGCAGCTAAGAATGGTCACAATGAGGGTAACTGGACTTGCCAAGCGAATTTTTAGAAAGTTTCTTCAAGAGAGGGGCATATTTTTTCACATTTCTTTCTCCCTGCTTCCTGGCATGGAAACAAGATGGCTGGAGCTTAAACAGCCTTCTTGGTTTCTGAGGTGGGAGCCACAAGTAAAGGACAGTGGGGTGGCAGGAGAGAAGATGGCATTCCCCAAGACCTTGTGAAGTGGGAACAGTGACATCCATGAATCCCATAGGGTTGTTGCAAAGACAAATGGACAGCACAGTATCAAGTGTGTGATACAAGGGCCCAGTGCACAGGAGCTGCTATTACTATGAGCACCAGCAACAGCTTGTAACGTGACACCTGAGTCTCCCCGATCGTCTCCCCATCACAATGCGTTCACTCGGTTTGGTTTTCAGCTTTCTCCCCCACACTCTACCTCCTGGAAGAACAGGCCTGTCAAATGCTGGGGGAAGGGGCGGGGTCCTTGTTCCCCTCCCTCTCCCAGCAGCACACACTGCCCTGCCATCCTGGGCAGGGAGGATGGACCAACCCTCTGCTCTGGCCCCCAGAGAGACCCATACCAACTCACCGTGGACTTGGAGGGCAGTGTTAGCCTGGTGGGCCCACCTTTCCTTTGCTGTAATGGAAATCAGACAGGTTATGGGCCATTTTCTCCTTTTCCTTCCCTGCACCACTCTGGCAACACGACTACTCTGAGAGCCATCGCCTTGGTGGCAGAAGGCAACACCGGTCTTAGACTCAGGGACAGACCCCTGGACAAGGCTAGAGCCTAGGGAGTTTCTGACAGGCAATCCCATGGAAAACCAGGAAAGGAGTGGGCCCCTTTGGGATTCAGCTGTTACTGGGGGTGGCTGGTGCCATGTTCCCCTGGCAGTGAAACGCATTTCGGTGCTATCCCACCTCAGGGAGGGAGCTGGGGCCCTCACAGAGCTCCCCCAGGAGGCTGTGGACGGGGACTGCTCCAGGAGATCCAGAGGCGTGGGCATGGGCGTGGCTGGTCAGGCAGCCCTTCGGCAGTAAAGGGCAAGTGCTGGCACTGGGATGTGGGATCGTGGGCTCTGAGGGACAGGAGGGACGGGGCTGGACGCCAGTGGCAGCGGGGACCCACCAGCTCCTTCAGCTCCCGCTGCCTGTCACACAGCTGCTCGTACATGCGCTTGCCCACGTCTGTGCTCTCCAGGGTTGAGATGATCTGCAGCTGGGTGTCGTTGTTGTCAATGATGTTGTATTCCAGCATCAAGCATAGGATCTGCTCGGAGCCACAGGGGTTACGTTCAGCCCGTGACCCCAGAGACAAGTCGTGGCTCAAAGGTGCATGCCTTGACTCCACACAGCAGGCCCCCACAACCCTCAAGAGGAGCACAGTGCACTGTGCACCCCCAAACTAGCAGCACTGTTCCCCCTTTCTATACCCCTTGCTGTGTGACCTTCCCATCCATACAACGAGAACAGCAGTGCGTGCAACCAAGTACAGAGTGGACCCTTACCGACACATGCCGAAACCAGGCCAAGGTCAGGCAGAAAGTCCCGAAGACCCTTCCCCTTCCTCCCATCCTCCTGCTCTTCTCCACTGCCTGGCCCAGGAAACTCACTGATGGAACTGCAGCCCTGGGGCACAGCTATGTGTGTTTCCGAGAAGGCCTGGGTGCTGCCCTACTCAGGGTCCCCATGCCCAAGTGCCCTGGCCAGCTCCTCACCTCCACCATGGTCTGGTTTCCCCTCAGCGCCAGGAGCATGCAGGGACCCAACTTATTTTCCGCCAAGGAGAGCAAGAATTTTTTGGTCTTGTAACAGGAGCCCATGAGGATGTGCACCTGTAAAGGGGAGATGGCCCAAATGAAGGGAGAGACTCCTGGGGCGCCCCTGCCCAGGCGCCAGCATCCCACAGGCTGGGAGGAGCAGGCAGCCAGGTATTGCGAAAGGACCTGTCCTCAGCCGTGTCTGGACAGCGGGGTTGTCAGTGGTTACCTGGCACTCTGCCCCACCCCACCTGCCTGGAAGCTTGTATTTCTGGGAAACGGCAGCCCCAGCAGGACAACTTGGTCCCACTCTTTTTATCTGGAGTGAAAGTGAGTTCTCGTGGGCAAGGGTCCCTGATCAACAAAGCTGAGGAGCCCCCAATACCCCTATTTCTCCTCTGTACCACAGACAACAACAAAGACTCTAGAGGCTGAAGCCTGCAGCCGAATCAGTACCAAGGCCTGGCCTGCGTCTCCATGGGAACGACGTATTTCCATGTCAGGAGCTGCCTGCCTCCCCTCCCGCCTGTCTTCCCTGACTCCATCATTAACAAGTCTGGCGTACAAACGGGGTTTCTCTGGCTGGGAGGCTGCCAGCGCACAGGGAGTTGGGGGAGGGGCACTGAGCATTGCCATGGTGACGTGGTGACGTCAGAGGAAGCCCAAGAAGTAATGGCAAGTGGGAGAGAAGGGGTGGGGGGTGCAGCCAGGCAGGGCTGGGCACATTTCTGGAATGCATGGAGCACTCAAAAGGGAACCCAACGACAGTAGGCAGGGTGGGCCAGAGACTACATAAGGACGGGGACCTAAAAATAAGTCCCTTTCAAGTGGGTTCTAGAGACTGTGCCTTGATTTGTCGTCATTGTGCCCCTGCCCCTGCTTAGCGTGCGGTGCTGAGCCACTGGCCCCGCTGCCAGGTGAAGATGAGAAGAGCCCCAGCTGTCAGGTCCATGCCTGGCTAGGCAACTTGCAGCCACTGTCGCAGGTAATCACCATGGTAACCTCGAGAGGCCAAGGACCAGGCTTGTCTTACAGCCCAGGAACCGGAACCTCAGAGAGGCAAGGAACCAGCTCAGGTCAAAGGCCACCTCGCAGTTCTGCCTGGCCCATGTCCATTGTTTCCCTCTGAGTGACGGAACTAGTCTCCCAGCCTCTCGGGGCCTGTTTTAACAGAGGTGTGAGTAGCAATTGCCTAGAAAGGGGACTGCCTGGGATGTGACCAACAGAGCACTCAGCACCAAGAAGGTACCGGAAGTCACCAGGGTACGCTTATCTGCTGGCTGACCCAGCCCCTCCTCAGAGAAGGAAAGACCACCCTAACTTTGACTCTCACTACAAGGAGTGAGCCACTGGACTTGGTGGTATCTTCTGGAACTCCTGGCACTTAGCTGGACACTCAACCCTTATTGTCAATGCTGTGCCATGACAACTGACTGCCTGGACCTGGGCAGCGAGCGCCTTGGTCTTCAGCTGCCTCACCTGTAGAATGGGGTCACTGGCAGCATGCCCTCCTTCCGCTGCTGTGCTCAGGGCCTGGCCCCCAGCACCGGTGCCCTCCCCATGACCTGCGCCATGCTGGCCTGGATAGTGTGGGGCACACCTGAGGTGGCTGGGTCGGCTGTCTGACTAGTTACGAGAGGCACATCAGCTGGGGCTGGCATACCATGCTGGCGAAGAGCTCTCCATCGTCGTCACAGGCCACCCCTCCAGGGCTGTAGAGCTGGAACCAGCCATCCTTGCCGGCCCGCACGCTCAGCAGGCATGAGTGCACCTGCGGACAGAGAGGGCACATGCTCAGTTCCACGTCAGCCTGGGGACGCAGAGATCTCTGGGGCACACGAACACAAGCCCCTGCAGAGGTCCTGCAGCCGGAAAACTGTCTGCTGGGCTCAGTGGTTCTCAGCCCCCTCCCAGAGTCCATGGAAAACCTGGGGGTGCCACCGGGGCTGCTTGCCCCAGGAACCCCAACAACTCCCAGGTTGTGGCTGTGCCAGGGCAGATGCCCAAGTAAGCCCCAGGATCCAACCCTGCCTTGGCCCCGTTCCTCCTCCTGGGAGGGGCCGTCCCTTTGGCTCCCCTCGAGCCAGTCTTGGTCCATATCTCCCATCTCTCCCCATCCTCACTCTTGTGGGCTGCTCCCTTTCTCTGTGTCTCGGCTTGTCTCCCCCTGGGGTTTCCGTGCCCTCTCTTAGTGTCCGCTGCCTGTTCCTCTTGCAGCTGGCAGGGGCAGTCTTCCTCGCAACATCCTCTGTGACCTGCAACCCTCTGTGCCATCTCCTCCTCTGAGTCTCTTTGTGTGTGTGCACGCACGCGTGTGTAGAACCCCACATCCACCGCAGCTCCCCCACCCCCACCTGGCCATGCTGTTACAGAAAAGGCAACAGGCAGAGTGAGGGGTCACTGGCTATTGGGAGGCCCTAACTCAGAGACAGGAAGTCGGTCACAACCACACACAAGAAGGCAGAAAGGAACGGTGGCAGCCGGGAGAACACCCTCATACACGGTAACCTATCTGCTTCACAGCCAACCTGACCTTCCTCAATGAGGACAGTTCAGAATCACAGAGCAGGCAGCAGCCCTGGTGGGAGAAACAGGGGTGGGGAAGGAAACCAAGCAGCAAAGAGGGAGAGAAAGACCAGAGTCAAGGAATGAAAGGGGAGAATGTGGCACAGGGCCACGGAGCCCTCAAAGCCCCCCGTGGCCTCGCACGGGTCATCACGCCTGGAAATTCCCTCCCAGCAGCTGGTTCTGTCTGTTCTGCCTTGGCGGCTTCTCTCGCAGTGTCCAAGCCTGGAATAAAGGCTGCCTTCCCCAGGGAGTTCTGAGAGCTCATCTCTTAACACCACAGAAAGGCTTAGGTCTGAGGACAGTTGCCGTGGCTGGGCCTGTTCAAGCCTCCCCTGGTGTTTCGACTCTTGCCCAACCCACCTGTGGGCCATCTTGGGAAGCAGATCTTTCTAACTCCTTCTGGAACTACATATACAGTGTGGCCTGGGGATGCTTGTTCAGAGTGCAGGTTCCAGCCACCTGCAGCCAGCTGCTAGAGCCCTGCGGTGTGCAGCGGGGAGTCTGTATTCTGCACAAGGTCCTCGGAAATCAGGTTTGAGAACTACACCTGTAGTACATGCAAGCTGAGAGGATGACCAGCCAGGCTCTGGGACAGGGTAGGGCCTGGGTATTCATGTATCCCCAAATCCCTGTGAAGCCCTGCTCCCCACTCTCCTGCCCATGTAGACATGTCTGGGTTTTCCAGACCCAGGTCTGCTTTCCCAGCCTCGTGTACAGCTTAGTCTAACCAGTGAAGTTCTACCTCCTCTGGGAAGCCTCCCTGGGTGTTTCCATTGAGCACCAACCTGCTCTCTCCACTGCCCATCATCTCCCTCAGCTGACAGGTGTCCAGGGCTAGCCCTGGTTGGAGAGCAAGGCTTGCATCACCCCACAGTCCATGCACACAGGGAAGCAGGCCGCAGTCCTGGAGCCAGACTTGCTGCGCTTGAATCCTGCACTAACCATGCTTTACCTGTGGACTTTGGTGATGGTGCCATGGCCTGAGGACCAGGACAGGGTTGCATGGGCTGACTCGGGGTGCAACTCAAGAAGCTAGTGCTGATGCACAGAGGAGAAAGGTGGTGGGAGGGTACTAGCCTCATTCTTGCTGGGTCATACGGGCTTCAGCACCCCGGGGCACCCTGCTTCTGTAATGAGCAGTGCGCCCCTCTCAGAGAGGCCCTGCTTCTCTCTTCAGTTGGCTGACTCACAGCACAGCAGCAACACAAATGGCCTAAATAGCTCAGTCTGGAGCAGAGCCCCTCGGGCCAGCCCACAGACGGCAGCCCAGGTTCTCCAGCATGCCCCTCACCCCCGACTGGCATCAAAGGCAGCGCCCAGCATGCTGGTGTTAGTGGCCGGATTTAGGCACGGGCCAGGAGCCTCAGTCCCCATTCTGGATTCCCCTGGGCGCCGCCACGCAGAGAGAAAGCCTCACCTCTTGCCGTGGGTCCTCGGCAAACCTTTGAATCACGTACTTGAGCTCCCTGCAAGACAGCAGCCACGGGCCCAGTCACTCTTGGGTCTGAAGGGAGGGATGCAGCAGGTGGCATGGGCTGGGAAGGGGTTTCATATCACTGAAGGAACAGGGCTGGGGGGGCGGGAGCGAGTGTTTTTGCCTTCATGGGGAGCTTCGAGGAGGCTAGCAGCAGAGGGCTGCCTGGAGAAGGTAGTCAGGGAGTTGCCCAAAATACTCACTTGGTGAACTTCTCGTGTGCAAGGGCTCTGTGAAAAAAGAAAGGGAAGGGGCAGTTAGGCAGGCGCTGGGAGGAGGCCCAGTGTTCCTCTGGGGACGTCTAGACTATGAGTCTGATTCTAAGAATGGAGGGGAAGTTAAGAGGGAAATGCTAACATTTCTGCCCTTGCCCCAGGCTCCTAAACAAAGGGCTCTTTACAGCGGACCAGCAAGTGCCCCCCACCCCGGCTTCCCACACAGGCACTGCGGGGCCGCGCCTGCAAACAGGACTCGGCGCTGCCCAGTGCACAGGCTCGTGTGGGCATGCGAGGGCTCCAGAGAACCAGGTGTGTTCATTAATTGTGCCACAATTCAGGCGCGGCTGCACTAATTACTGCCACACAGCAGCACTGCCATCGGGACTGTTCTCCAAGCGAATTGCATCATGGGCTCATGGGCTGCTGTCAAATCTGTCCCGGGGGCCTGTGGGGGGGCAGGGCTGTGGCCAATGACGCCAGGGCAGTTCCCAGGAGTTGGATTTCTCCAGTCCCCAGTTCTGGGGACCCCCTGGGGAACAGCCAGACCAGCAAATGGGGCCATTACCAGGTGTAATGCGTCCCGTGGAGAGGCCTGGTTCATAAACATAGGCTTGGTAATGGGCTCCTGAGAGCCTGGTGCCTCCGGGGGCCTGGTTGCTCCAAATTCATCAAAACACAGACCTGCTGGCATCCGCAGGGCTGCTTATTTGGACCCAACTCTCTCTGAGTCATTATCCACCCATAGCTTGCTCCCTGTTGTCTTGCAATAAACTGGACCTTGGGAGAAACGTCCACAGGCAAGACATGAAGGAACCACATGTGGCAAGTTCACTGCGCAGCACGAGCCAATGACCACCACGGGTGTGACAGGTGCACCTGCTAAATCGCCTGTGGGCAGCTCCTCACTGTGTGCCTGAACTAGCCACCTTCCCTTGGTGCTGGTCCACCTGGGGCTAACCAGGCTGTGCACAAGGTGCTGCGGGCAGGACTTGACTCTCCAGGCCCCCGGATCCTGGGAACTCTGCATGCACCCCCAGGGACTGGGCCGAGACTGGGCCTCTCCTGGGCCCACAGCTGGCAACCCAACTGTTAGTCGTTAGCCCGTGGTGACTCAGTGTGTCCCTGCATGCGGCCATTTGGCTGGGGTTATTCTCATAGGTACGAGGCTCCCAGGGGCAGTGAGGGACTTACTCTTTGGGGAATGGAATGGGTTGAAGCAAGCTGGCCAGCGATGGCCTCCAGTCATCGTAGTTCGACCTAGGGTGAGAAGGGGCGGCAGTCAGGCTGCGTCAGGGCAGGGAGGTCGTGCTGTCCCCGTGGGAGACCCACAGTGCCTGAGGGCCTCGCCACGGCAGTTGAAGGCAGCAGCTCCCTCCCCATCTCTCAGACGGTCCTGACTCGAGCTAAAACTGCCTTCTCAACCGTTTGTCCCTCCTGTTCAGAGTTCAGGGTTTCACAGACTTCATTCCATCATCCCACCCTTGCACACCTGCACACCTGGCAGACGTCAGCCTCGAGGAGGTTTCATCACCACAGGACAAACGTTCCCTTGGCAGCCCCCTCTGTGGTTCAGGTAACCCCAGTGCGAGGGCTGTCCCAGCCAGCCTTCCTCCACAGAAACCCTCTAGACGCAGACTGTGGCCTGGAGGTACCTGAGGCGAGGCTCAAGGGCCAGACTCATGGGAAGGAACCAGAAAGGCGTGGAGGCCTGAGATAAGCCAAGAAACCCATGTCAGGATGCAAAGGCAACCTTCTGGGCTCCCTCTAACACTCAGCGGCTGACCTGCCCACACTCATCCTCAGCCTCCACTGACTCGCTGGTGTCTTGAATGTGGTGATCCTGGCATATGTGCTTCTGCTCTTCTGGGCAGGTCTCCTGGCAGCCTGGTTAGTGTGTACTCCCCATTCTAAAGACAGTAAAACTGAGGCCCAAGGAGGATGAGCCGTGGCCCAGGGCCCATGTGTCCCCGTGGGTGGCACCGCTCACACCCACAGAAGACTGTCTCCCCAGATGGAAAGTTTATGTCTTGGTGCTTCTCTCCCTAGGTTTCAGATACATTCAATGTGAGCATCCCATTTAACACAAACCCCTCACAGTCATAGCAAACTCAGGAGGCAGAAGAGCTGGGCTCCTGCAGGTGACATGGGCCTCACAAGGATGGGTCGCTGGTCCTCGGTGGGCCCTGGGCCCTGAGGTACAGGGCCTTCCACTTAGTTTCCGGGGTATAGGCTGGCTCCCAAGGATCCCAGGCAGGAGCTGAGCTTCTGGTCAGCTCCTTCATGGGCAATACCTACAGGTCCAGAGAAGTGGCAGGTTTACAGAAAGAGGAAGAGGATGAAGGCTTCCTTCTTCACCCTGGCCCAGTCCCGCCTGAAAGTCTGTGGTTGAGTTGCTGGCCCCGCCATAGTCTGAGCTGTCTGGAGGCACCGTGCTGTGCTGGCCCCAGGCGGGGCGCTCACTGGTCAGACCCTGCAGGTGGGTTATTTGCCTCACTGGCCCTGGCTCAGGCTCCAATGGCAAGAGTTCCTGCCATGAGTGCTGGGACAGCAGTATTTAGTCAAGGGCAGCAAGCATGGCTGCTTCTGCCCTCTGGGCCACTCTCCCTTTAGCCAAGGCTTGCCTAGGACAGGCGGTGGGGGTGGGATGGGGAGGCAGGAGTGGCTGGCAGGCAGGGTCTAAGGGGCCTGACCATTACTGGAAGGAGGACAGAGCAGTCCCTAGTGTGGGGAAGCCTGCGCAATGCAAGGCAGGCAGGCAGGCACAGCTAGCGCCCAGGCTTCAGGCCTCAAGGCGATGGGGCCCTGTTAGCTTTGGAACCCCACTTCACAGTTGCAAAGCAGAGGCATCAAAGATCCTAGAGTTAAGGACAGAACTGAGCCCTGTGGCCTGCAGACAAAATGCTTACTTCTGACCATAACCCCAACTCTCAGATCCTGTGCACCCGCCTCGTGGCTGTCCACACTTGAGAGGTACCAGGCCAGGAGACCTAAGTTTGGGACACATTTTGGTCTGCAATGTCCCTGCCATGCAGGTAGCAGGCAAAGACTGATCAGGAAAGAGCACAAATGCACCTTGCTACAAGGAACCTCACAGTGTGCCAGTGGCTGCCTGCCGCCTGCCCCACTCCTCCCCCCATGCTACTGTTCTGGGCCCTGGCAGTTCTCACATACTGCATGGTTGCAGCAGCATTCCACACAGGACTGGCCACATGTGAGTGGTGCAGTCATTGCTGCATGGAAGAACAGATACACAGGTGGACGGAGGAAGGGAGGACGCAGGGACCCAGCAGCTGCAGCGACTCCTGTGGGTCGGGCCTTCCCGTCACACCACAGTCTCACTGCCCAGGGTGGCACTTCTCAATCTCAGCCTTCAGAAGTCTTCCTTCTTGAGAAGGGAACTACAGGGCCTTAGGCTACTGTGCAAAGGCGTCCATCAGCTCTGATGGTGCCACTGGGAACTCCTGTGCATCCTCTAGGAGCTGGCAGTCTCCCCTGCCCCTCACTGGCCGTGGGTGGGTTGAGCTGGCCCAGGACTCCATGACTTCTGCAGCAACCAAGCCCCCTAAGGCCCTTGAGTGCCACACCAAATCACCTCTTTCTCTCTTCATGCACTACTCCTATGTGGGTAGCCTCTCCATAGTGACAATGGCAAGTCATCGAATAAGAACCAGAGACTGGGCCAGCTTGGGAAATTTTCCACATTCCTACAACAGTCCTCCAAGGAGAGAAACTAGGGCTTGCAGCAGCCAGCAATGTTATGCATTGGTCACAGCAGACAAGCCACAGGACCTCACCACTCAGTGCTCAAATGCAAACTTCTTATATACAATTCCACACTGAACGCTGATGCTTTTTCTTCCTCTCAAAGCACTGTTACTATATCAATGATGTACACTCTTCTCAACAGTATCTTTCCAAAAAGAGCCAACACCACGCACCTGTAACCTGTGATGTGCCCATTTTCCCAGGTGTCTACCTCACAGAGCTGTGTGCTCTGTGGTGGGGGCTCAGAGCAGACATGTAACCATGTCCCAAGCCAACACATGGCACACTCAGACTTTGAACTCCAGCTTTCCTCCCTCAACACAAGCGGGCTCAGTGGAGTTCTGGGTTGTTTGAATGCAACATCTCTGAGGTCCCCAACAAGCCAGTGACCTGAGCAGCCAGCCAGCTTAGCAAAGCAATGCTAGAAAAAGTTATCTGGCCAACACTGTTCTGAGCTCTTCCAATGCCAAAGAAGCTTCTGGGAGTCTGAACCTTGCTTCACAGAGATCTCAGCTGAGTGTGAACTGGTGCTCTGAGCAGGAGACTGCTGACCCCATCGTCCAGCCCTGAGGACACCTCCCAGTGGCCCTGGCCCCACCCACGCTCTTGTAGTTGGACTGCACGGGCAGGCAAGAGATCTGAAAGCAGATCATGGAGAACAGGGTCCTCATTCATGAGTGTGTTTATGAAGAAGGAGAAAAGATGTGTATACATAGCAAATGGCTGCCACCAGGGGGCTGAGGTGTGGGCACAGGGCCACGCTCAACCATAACAGGGAGCCCCTCCCCAAGGCACCTGTGTGTCCCATTCCCTGAGGGCTGTCTTGATCCTGTCTCTGCCAGGGCCAGGGAGTGGCTGAAGGTGGCTATACCCTCACCTGCCCCTGCTGCTGGCACATGGGGTGAGAGTGGTATCATCCCTAGGTAGCCCTGGCCCTTTCCTCTCCAGAGCCAAGGCAAGGGCAGAGGAAGCTGCCTGGGGTGCTGCCTACTCCATGTCCTCTTTCCAATCAAGGGAGCTGCTGCATGACTGTGGGATGCAGGTGCACTTGTGTGTGTGTGTGTGTGTGTGTGTGTGTGTGCGTGCACACGGGGCATCCCCAGGCCCCTCCAGGCTGCTGTCACCTGGGCCTTGGAAGCAACCTTCCACCCCTCTGAGCTCTGAACACACTCTGACAGCAATACGGCCATGAGGAGTATGAACAACTTTACTGCAGCAGCTGCGTGGTGACAGCCATACAAGGGCTAAGCAATCCAACACAGCCTCACAACTCCAGTTCCCCCATCAGGCAGGGACTCTGGCTCTCTACAGGCTCCAGTATAGGTTAAATTTGGCAACACAACCAGCCCAGACCCTCAGAAAAGTCAAGCAACCACCACTGACCGCCTCTGGAAACCAAACTTCCAGAGCTATGGTTCCCAAGAGTGGACTGAGCTCCATCTTGCAGGCAGGGGTTTGCAGGGGCACAGAGGGAAGGGAGGCCCCATGAGGGTCCCCAGTCCTTAGCTTACCCATGGAGCTGGAGCTCTATGTTAAACAGGGACTGCCACTCAACGCAGGCTGGGCCAGACCCCAAGTGCTCAGCAGCAGTGGCCCTGTCCAGAGTAGACCCCGGGCCCTGTTTCCTGGCTCCCTCTCCATAGCTTTTCTGCCAGCTCAATGCATACCTTGTACCAGCACAGCCCAGTAGGGCAGTTTTCCAATGAGATATTCTCCCTCGGTAAGGCTCCTATATGCAGGCACACACATGATCCATCAGTAGGTATACACATGCACGTGCTGCTCACATGATGCAGAAACACAGATGGCATCTCACATGTGCACAAATGCATACCAAATCCTGTGCACACGTAGTCACACTCACAAAAGTACACAGCCACTCATGCACAAAACCAGCACAAGTGCCTAGACACCCATACCTGTGCATCTGACACACCCAGAACAACAAAAAAAGAAGCAGGCTGCTTTTGAGAAATCCACCCATGTGTCTGTATCCAGTTCCTACACACACACACACACACACACACACACACACACACACACACACGCAGCCCCATGTTCCTGCTGTATGCAGACACTGTGTAAACACACATGCTTATGTCTGCACCCTATACATGTACCAGGTACTCAAGCATACATGTACGCACATGACCAGGTATGCAACCACAAATGCACGTACACAGCATTTAGTCATAGAAATACACACACACTCTCATGTGTCCTTACACACTCACACCCCTGCATCCCGCACAGCCACACCTACTACTCACTCAGCTTTTTCACTTTCCAGCTCCCCTACTCAAGCATGCACATCCACACACACATCCTCAACCGCCCACAGACCTCCTGCACCTCAGCCCCGAGGCAGGTGGTAGGCTCTTCGAGGGGGGACACTCACAGCAGCTTGAGGATTTCCACGTAGCAGCCGAGCGTGCGGTCGGCCTGGGGGCCCAGCTCGATGCTCATGGTGCTGCAAGCAGGGCTGACCATGAGGCAGTCGATGAGGTTGGGCTCGCTGTCGTTGCCTGCGCTGGCCGTCAGCGCTGGCTTGGCAGTGCTGGTGCGCTCCACCTCTACGTGGATCTCGCTGGAGGCCACGACCACCGACTTGAGCCGTGTCTCAGACAGCGTGGCTTCCTGAGACACCAGGTCCGGGCTGGGGTGCAGAAGGCGCAGAGGTAAAGTGGGCTTCCGGTCGCAGGGCTGCTGGCAGCCGTTGCGGATCTCCTTCAGGCTGGGGGAGTTGTCGCGGCTGTGGGCAGAGGCAGGAGAGAACCCTTGAGTACATGCAGGGGTCTGACGCGCTGGCCAGCAGAGTGTCATGGAGGCAGAGAGCTATGGCTTCCTGAGCTCATGCTGTGCTAGGCATGGCTGTGCTGGGTGCTTCCCTGGATTCCCAGCTCCATCCTATTGGCTTGTCCTGGGGAAGCAGCTTGCTCTAGCTGGCAGACAGGCAAAGGCTACCTGGCACACAGCAGGTTCTCAGGGCCTGGGGTGTGGGTGGTGGGACATATGAGTGCCACTCACTTGGCATCCACCTCTGCTGGCTGCCTTCCTGTCATACTCACGAGACCTCCAAGGACACTTCCAGCTGCTTCCTGAGGTCCGGATACTCCTCCGCAGTGACCCTGAGGTCACCCAGGCAACAGGCCCAGCCCCTAGCCATTTGAGGAAGCAAAACCTGCTTTGGTGGGATCCCAAATTCCAGGGTTCTGGTTTGTTCTGGAGCCTGCAGGATCCTCTTGTTTGCAGCTGCCAGGGGTCCATGACCTTCCTGTGAGTGGACTGGGTTGGCATTTCAAACCAGATTTCAAGCGAAGCCCATGGGCACCCCCCGAGGGCCACTTCGGAGACACCTGCTTACGGCCTTGAGTTCTTCCTGGCCTTAAGTCCTTCTAAAGCAGCGAGTTCCCTGGCTCTTGTGGCTGAACTGAAGCCATTTCAGATTCGGGAAGAGCTGGATCTACGGGGTGGGGCCTGGACCTGAGCATTCTTTTGGCCTCTCCTGTGTAAGGGCCATCACTGAGCCTGCCCTGAATGTGCCACATGCCGGTGCCCTGTGCCTGCCGAGAGGAACACGCAGACAGGTCCAAGCTATGCGTCTCACACTCTATAGTGCTGATGAGATGCACACAGCAGGGCCCACACTGACCCGGTGTATGTCATGAGCTGGGCAGAGCTGAGCCCACCAACAGTGCTTCACACACGAGTTGCAAAGAGGCAACCCATTGGTTCAAGCCCGAGAAGTCTGGTAGATGGAAAATCGTGTGTGGTCTGTGGGGGGAAGGGATGGCCTCCCTCCCTCCTCTGTTTCAGCTCTCATTTGCTCCCCAAGTTCTCAACCTGTCACTCATCTTTGTTTGCCTTCCGCTGGGATTCAGGAACGGATTTTTCAAGGCTGTTTGGCTCTGATGGGTGATTTTCCAGAGAGCCATGCTAACCTGGGTCAAGCTGTCTGTTCTCTGCAGTGAGTACATCCTGTGCCCACCGGAGCACAGAGGATGGCTTGGGGGAACGTCACGGCCTTTATCTTGCAGGGACTGAGCAGCGGGGGCGGAAGGGACCTGGGCTAAGAGACACCTCGGCAGCCCAGCTGACAAGCTGGAAGAGCTCGGGGCATCAGCTGGGCCTGCCAGGCCAACCCCCACCTAGCTCCTTGCCTGGCAGGCCCCCCTCCCCAGTGAGGCCTGCCCCACAATCCAGCAGTCTCGGGCATAGGAAGACCTCCCCTGCCAGGGCCCTCCAGCTTCAGCAGGTTACAGAACCACCCTGAGTCTATTACAAATACAGATTTCCTGAGCCTTTGCCCAGAAATGCGGTATCCAGGAATTTGCATTTTGGCAGCAGCAGCCCAGGGTATTCTGAGGCAGGTATTTAATAGGTAACAGAAGTCCCATCTGGCCTCTGCGTAGTCTTCTCTCCAGTGGGTCACTCTCTTCTGGCCTCAGCTCAGGGGGGTCTCAGCCTAAACATCACTGCCCTGAAGGACCCTTCCTTAGCTGTGGTCACCCGTCCTGGCAGCATGCTGCTTGGTGTCTAACAGCCAGCTCCTCCTGATTCTGAAGGTGAGGCTGTGAGTCGGGAGCAGGTGCATTTCCAGAGCAAAGTGCTGTTGCAGTTCACCCAGGTGCAACTTAAATAAATACAGGGACAAGCCTGACTCCTAGGGTGGGGCAGGGCCAAGCGTTACACCAACACCAGTGTCATGACTACCAGCCCGGGTTCTTTGTGTGGGCTTCAGGCACATCTGGGGTCAGGGTAGTTGGTGGCTGTTCAGAAGCTTCCCTGCTTTCTGCCCCACTGGATGCCAGCAGTGCTGTATAGTGACCAAGAGTGCCTCCCGACATTGCCAAATCTCCTCCGGGAGGAGCTCTGATGCAAAGCAAGATGACAAATACTTCCAGGAACCCAGAGGTTTCTCGCAGCCCTCCCCCTAGGTGGCCCCTCTTCCGGCCTCTGTCACCACAGCTAACCATGTCCAGTCTTGAAGCTTCACTCAGCACGTACTTGCCAGCCCTTCCCATCAGGGTCATGGGTCTGAGACTTACTTACGGCTTGCCTGTTGTTCTGCTTTACTCACTCCTGCTGCCACAGATTACTCCTAGGGTGAGCGGGTCACGGGGACAGCTGATTTGTGGGCACTGCATTCCTAGGTCCCTCCCACCATGCTGGGAGCAAGCACAAAGCCAATGCCCTATGTAAGACTGAGCAGGAGCACAAATGCTAGAGCTGTGGCTTCACACTGTGGTTTGTAAAAATCTTGCCCAGGGGACCCCAGCATGCCACCCTGGCGGAGACTCCCATGTGGACATAGTAATTTCATTCTGGGTCCCTCCTTCATTATCCAGATCAAAGTGCATGGCAGCAGTAGGCCATAATGGACTTCCGGCCCGCGGTTCTGGCAGGGTAGAAGCCGAGCTGGCTGCCTCCCCTCTATATCTTTGGCACCTGCTGCACCTTGGGCCTCTAACCGGGTGCACAGAGAAGGCCAGCGCTGCAGTTGCCTGGCCTGTGCCATGTGGGCAGTTTGTAGACCAGGGCCCCTCCACCAGGCTCCCCGTTCCCAAGGCAGGGCCATGGCATCACACAGTGCTCAATGGCATGTCCTGCCCTTGCTCCTATCCCAGCTAAGGGTCAGGAGAGTGGCTCGGGAAGGGAGAGGAGGTGGAGGAAAGGAGACTGGCCGGCAGTGTCCTTATTGTGTGTCTGTGCATATGTGCAGGCCCTCAGGGGTCTGTGTGCATTTTCCTGTCTCTGTATGTTCACGTTTATCTCAGTGTCGGTGTGTGATGTAGCCGTCACTGAGGAAAGTTCTAGACAAGCCATTGGCATCTGCATCGCAGGGGTGGGGCCTCTCAAACAACCAGGTTTGAGAGCTGGCAGGAACCTGTCCCATATCACGTCCCCAGACAATACTCTGAGTCACAGGGCAGGGTGGGGTGGTCCCAAGGGAGCAGCGGCAGCTGGCCATGGGGCTTACCTGCTCACTAACTCCCACCTGGTGGCTCTGTCTCCTTCTCAGAGCTTCCTGGGAGCACATATTTCCCTAGTAAACTATTACCACCTGAATCCTGGGCTACAGTTTGCTTTGGGGGAACCCAAGCCCAGGCAGGCCTTCTGGTCTATTTACACTGCACTTCCTACCAAGTGACACCATCCTGCAGGCTTGCTTATGAGTGACGGCCCTCCTCGTCCATCTCCGTGGAAGTGAGGCTCCTGAGGGCAGAAACTAATAGAGCTCTCTAACCAATGCCAACAACAAAGCCTGGCTATAGCCAGCCAGATGCTGTGTATTGAGACAAGACAAGAGGGGCAAGCTGCCCTGCCCAGCCCCTGTGCCCATCACACAGGCACATGCATGTATGTGTACATGCATAGTCACATGTGTACACCCACTCAGTACTCATGTGTACATGCACACACAGAGTCACCCGTGCAGAACATACTTCCCATGGAAAGAAATCTTCAGCACCCAACACAGTCCTCATGGCCTTGCACTGCTGGTGCTGGGTCAGAGACCCACACCAATGGGTCCAGGGATGCGACCAACAGAAGCCACTTCCCTGTCCCAACCCAGCTACTGTGGCCTCCTGTTCCCACAACAGGGGTGGTATGCAACCCTCCCAGGCCCTCCTGGGGCAGCTGACCTGTTGATGAATTCTTCATAGCAGGAGTAGATGGCAGCCAGGCACACAGCCACCAGGTTGGGCAGGACCCGGGGGTGAGGGCAGTGCCCTGTGGGGCCATGCATGCTGGAAGAGAGCAGAAGTGCTAGTGAGCAGGTTCCATGGGTAGATGGGGGAAATGGGATGTTGGACTTTATCTAGGCATGAGGCTGCCCTATTTCCACGTACAGCTCAGCCGGGCCTCGGGAACTGTGGCTGTGCAACTAGTGACACCAGGGTCCTAGCAGTGCCACATGCAGGTAGCGGAGAGCCACACTCTGGGCCAGGGACTCCCAGAGTGCCTGGGTTGGAATCTAGCCAAGGGCCTTGCAAGCTCATGTCTCTCCACCCTGTGTCTCTTTAGTTATAGGGGACAATGAAGACCAAGTTCACAGTAGGGTTTCATGCACAGTGGCCATTGTCCAAGGGCATCTTGTTGGTACCTGGTACTTTTGGAGTTAATTATTCCTAACACCCCACTATAGTCTCAAGATTACCTTGCTTCAGAAGAAAAATTATTGTGGTCATTGTGGCTTAGCATGGGGTCTGGTAGTGTCACTAAATTCCCAGCGAGGGCTTAGCATGGAGATGGCCAGGCCTCAGTGTTTCCATTTGTAAGATGGGCTGTGAGTCTGGGGCTCACACCTGTAACACTCCTGGAAAATTGCCATTGTGGCTGCTGTCACTAAGGGGCTTCACCTGAAAAGACTGTTGACTATGACGGGTGCTGTGAGGAGATCTTAAGTCCTCCAGGCTCCGGCACAAGGGCATGCAGGGTGGACATAAGGGCATACTTTGGAAATTCATGGTTTCAGACCTAGTTTAAACTGGTATTTTGATATTCTTAGAAAATTGAGAAGAGCAAGAATGATAGCTAATTCCTATACCATATTCTGCCATGTTCTCAGTATTGACCCAGGTCAGTCACTGGTTCCCACACTGTGTGGACCAAGGAGCGAGTACAGTTATCATTTTTATAGATGAGGAAATGAGGCACAGAGCAAGAATCTAAACACAAAAAGCAAAGCAAAAAAGAGCCTATCGAAAAGAGTCAGAACAAAGCCGTAAGGCTGCAGGGCTGGGTGCTGAACACAGCAGTTAAGTTGCCCCTGGAGACATTGCACCTTGTACCGTGCCTGGCTCAAGTCCTGCCTACTTAGCTTCCCATCCAGCTTCCTGTCATGTGCACCCTTGGAGGCAGCAGGGGATCATTCAAGTCTCTGCCATCCACGTGGGAGTCCTAGACTGAGTTCCAAGCTCTTGGCTTCAGGCTGGTCCAGTCTCAGCTATCGGGGGAAGCTGACGGGAGATTTCTGCCCTCCAAACAAAGAGGAAAATAAATACACATTTTAAAAGATCTAGTTTTCTGGGGCCAGTGCTATGGTGTAGTACGTTAAGGGTCCACCTGTAGTGCTGATATCTCTCATGGGAGCCAATTCAAATCCTGGCTGCTCCACTTTCCACTCAGTTCCTTGCTACTGTACCCGGCAAAGCAGTAGAAAATGGCCCAATTGCTTGGGCCCCTGCACTCATGTGGAAGACTTGGACAAAACTCTTGGCTCCTGGCTTTGGACTGGCCCAGCCCTGGCCACTGTGGCCATTTGGCGGGCGGCGGTGGGGGGTGGTGGTGGTGGTGGTGAAATAACAGATGGAAGAGCTTTCTCTCCCTCTTTCTTACAAATAAGTAAAACAAATCTAAAAAGATACTGTTAATGTTAAGAAAAAATCTGACTTCCTTTAAGTCAAGTTTGGGGGACAGCTATTCAGGTCCCTAGGGAGAGTTCTCTGGGGGCACCTGGACAGGTACCGCTGTCTCCCTTGCCTAGTACCCCTTGGTCCAAGGGCTGAAGCACCCACAGCTATGCTGGTACCACTAAGGGCCTTCAGAGCATCTCAAGTTCCCACTCTGCAGTATGCCAGGCAGTTCTTCCACAGCAGCTCACTTAACTGCACAGAGACCCCTGGGAACAGCTGAGGAGGTTGTGACATAGAGACCGAGTGGCTGGGACTATACAGGGTAGTGGCATCCAGTGGAGGGTCCCATAGAAGAGGGGGCGCTAGAACCACTGAACACGGCTGGGGCTCCTCTGGTGCCAGGCGGCAAGTGGGATGCAGAGGATATGGCAGCAGGCAGGGAGGGGAGAGGCAGGAGACTCACCTCTGGATAAACTTCTTCACCACCTCCATCCCTGCATTGAGCTCATTCAGGGCGAGGATGTACTCCTGAGTGAACAGCCTCAGTCGCGGGCACTTCCCAAAGTCCTGCAGGGGCAACAGAGGACAGTAGCTGGGATGAGGGGAGGGGTGTGCTGGCAATGCTGCTGTGAGCCAGGGCAGTAGATGCAAAGAAGGGAGAAGGAGGCGAGGCAGCTCTGCCCGGAGCCACGGCAGAGGCAGAGGAGATGGCTGCTACGTACCAAGCCTGTTGTGCCCAAATCACTACAGAGCCTTCAGCCTCACACCTTCACTTCCATCTGGTAGTGGCTGTCCCCGGAAGCTGGAAACAGCCTGACCAGGAGGCCTCTAGACACCCACCGGTCTGGACCCCAGAGTGTACACACAAGAGCCAAGGGCAGCTTCTTTTCTGCAAATGTCTAGCAATTTCCAACAACCCCTAGAGTATATTGAAATTTATCTCATGAGGCCCCCTGAGAATTCCTAGGTCCCCTGCTTTCTGAGGGCTACTCTCTGCGACTAGAGGGGTCCTGGCATGGGGTCAGCTGCATGGTGGGGGTGGGCACAGAAGAGGGAAAGGCACTGCTGGATGGAAGAATCCCCCGGCACCAGCCACCAGTGCTTAGGTGGGGGGTAGTCACAGGTCTTTTCCCAAGAGAGGTCAGAACTGGTGGAAAAGGGCCTGATGCAGGTTTCTCGGGGCTCCTGTTGAGCTGGCTGACCCACACCGCCCACCTGTGCTCCAGCTAAACACAGGCGTGTGTGAGGATCATGGACTTCAGTAAAAGGTACCCTCAAAAGGCACTGGGGCTACAGAAAGGCAGAGGAGAAAGCAGGTCACAATCTGAAAGGCTGGCTGACCAAGAGAGAGGAGGCCGTGTGCAAGGATGAGACCAGGCACTTGTGCGCCCAGAACACAGAGGTGACACCAGGAAAGGACCCTTGCAATCTATCCGGCAGCACCTGCTCTACCATCATGGCTCAGGCTAGGAAGGGGTGGGGGCCTGAGAGACTTGGAGCTCAGCCTGTGTCATGCCCTGGGCATCAGCACAGGGAGGTGTGGCCTAGTCTTGCTCTCTGTGTTTAGGGAGATGATGGGTTGACCAGTAGGGAGACAGAGAAACACACGTGTCTCTGAATATTCTGTGTTCCCTCCCTGCTCCTAACTCAGACTCACAGAGACCACTTTCCCTTCAGTGTCCACCACACCCTCAGCTGGTTCATTGCAGCAGATTGGTTCTGCTTCCACAGTAAGGCCTCGTGTTGATGCCTACAAGGGCTATCTCTTCACACAGAGGGTAGCAGCACTGGAACACACAGGTACATGCAGAGCACATGTATGCACTTGCTTGCACACATGTGCCGCACTGGGCTAGAAAATTAGGTTCCTTCATCAGCAGAAGATTGAGAGGTCAGTAGCACTGCTTGCAAATTAAGGAGGATGCAGAGTCCCCAGTCTCCTGAAAAGGGAAAGGGAATCAGTACGGTGGCTCTGGGACCCCACCGTCCCTTCCACCATAAGGGTTTCACAATTCTAAGAATGCGGCTTCAACAGTGCCTTGTCAAAGCTAAACCTGGCTACCTTTGCTATCGTGTGTCTGAATAGTTAAGGTTGTTTCCTTGAAATAAACACTACAGACAAGTATGATCCTTGAAAAGTCACATACGCTCCCCTGAGAACATCAGGGTCCTCAGGGGACTACAGCCTCATCTCTGTGTCTCCTCTTGCTAGAAGGACATCTAAGGAACGGCAGATGGGCTTAGGGACACATGTCCACAAAGCTGCTTGGATGGAATCTTGCGTCTTAAGTTCCAGTTTAGCCTGGTGAAAAACACTTGTTGAGACTTTCCTGGCTTTGCTCTGCTCATCCATGAAATGGGGCATGTGCCATTTTTGCAAGAGAGGCATTCAGGACAGGAGATGCCTACCCCTCACCTCCCAAATTAAGACCACCAGTACAGGGTCTGACCTCATTTCTCAAATGTTCCCGAGAGATGCTGCTGTTTACACCAACATAGACGTGCCTGACGGCAGGTGAGGTTCACTCTCAAGCCTGTGACTCAACCTCCCTATAATAATCAAGAGTGCCATTAGCCACAGCCAGCTGCTAAGCACGAGGGGACGTCTGCTGTGCCAGGGCCTGTGTCTTATCTCCTGGAGCCTGGCAGGGCCAGCATGACACAGAACAGTCTGCTCTTCCACAAGTGGAGTTTGCCTGCCACACAGAACCAGGAGACAGAACCGCAAGGAATGTGTGAACTGCAGATGCTCTGTTCACTGCAGTGCTGCCATCAAAGCCCACCGCAGACTTCTGTAAAGTTGGCTGAAGGCCCCGCTTTTGTTCAGCTTCCCTCAGTGGTGTTCACACTTCAGGGTCCCCATCCAAGCTCCCGCCTGGCATTTGGTCCCCACATCTTTTCAGACCCCTGGGGCTGGGGCGGTTTCTCAGATTAGACTGGAGCTGTGGCATATTGCGAGGAAGACTGAAGATGAACGTCGTATCTATCACGACACACCAAAGGGGTGAACAGCCTGGAACGTGGCTCATCATATGGCGTGACTGTCCACTGGGCCAAGGTATGAGGGTCAGGTCTCTGCCTACAGAGTTCATCCAGGCCCCTAGTCCGCACTGTGTTCTCTGGGCAGATTCATGGCGCACAGCCCATGCTGCCTGTCCACAGGAGTCCTTCCCATGCCTCAGAGGCAGAGCATCCCCACAGGCTGGGACTCTATGCAGGAGATCCAACCACCTCTCCCCAGACCACACGCCTTTGCCATTCTGACTACTGTGGATGTGCTAAGATGGGAGCCTGGGCTATATCAAGCTCCCCAAATCATCCCACAAACCTCCAACCTGTCCCCACATCTGGAAAAGTGAAGGCAGGTGCCTGGGCGCTGAAGACTCACCATGTTGTGCTTGAGGATTCTCTGGACCACGGGGGTGAACACCTCGATGACCACCATGGACCGGGGCCGCTCTCTGCAGTGCTGTGAAGAGAAGGGAGGTCAATGAGGGCTGGGGGATTCCAGCGAGGCCAGGGATAATGTAATGCTTGGTAGCATTTGGGGCAGGGGCTGAGTCCCTTGGTGCACGTGGTTACAAAGCTTCTTAAAAATACACTTATTCCCAAATAAATAAGTTCACAGCACAGAGTGACAGAAAGGGGAGCTCTCCTGCTATGCCTCCTCCACACTGCAGCACGGCGACTGCTGCATCTGGCCGAGTCCACAGCAGACAATAGCAGTCCCTCATGGTCCTGGATATGGGTGTGCCACTGCAGGGTCACGAAGAGTCGATTCAGGGCCCTAAAAGCATTGGGTCCATCAACCTTCATCCCCCTAGCTCTCAACAATCATTAGTCATTTACTCTCTAACAAAATTAATATAAACATTTTATTTGAAAGGCAGAGACTCAAGAGAGAAACAGAGATCTAGCTTACTCCTCAAATGTTTACAACATCCAGGTCTGGACCCAGCCAAAGTCGGGAGCTAGAAACCTCCTCTCAGTCTTGCTTGCAGGTGACAGCAATCCAAGGACCTCAGCCACCACCTGTCACTGTCCAGGATGCATCTCAGTAGGAAGCTGGATTGCAAGCAGAGCTGGGATTTGAACCAGGCACTCTGATATGGGACACAGGTGTCCCAAGGAGGGTCAACCACTATGTCAAAAAATGTGCCTTCTTGTTTTACTCTTTTGGAAGGCAGGGGGATAAAGAGATATCCCATCTGCTGGTTCATTCCCCAAGTACCTGCTGAAGCTGGGCCAGACCAAAGCCTGGAACCAGGAACTCAATCTGGGTGTCCTATGTGAGTGGAAGAAATCTAAGTATGGGGCCATTACCTGCCGACTCCCTGGTGTGCATCAGCAGGAAGGTGGAGTCAGAAGCCATGCTGGGAGTTGAACCCCCGGGCACTTTGATTTAGAATGCAGATGCCCACTGTGCCAAATGCCAACCCTGACCACTGATCCTGCTCTGTCTCTACATCTTTGCCTTTTTCAGAAAGTCCCACCACAAGGCACTCTGAGCAAGACCAGGGTTTGTGGGGCAGGGCAGGTACATCACAGGTGAGCTCTCCCCTCCAAGAGAGCTCTTATTGCTGGTGGACATAGCCTGCACCTTCCACAAACAAGCAGGGGTCTCCCATGCTGCTGTCCATGGGATTAGGAAAGGGAAGGGGCTATCGCAGGCTGTGTCTCTCCTTCCAAGAACATCAAATCCCAACATTAAAAATCCCACATGACAAAGAACAAAACAGATATGCACACTGGCTCTGACCCTAGTCTGCTGAGGCCTCTGCCATGCACTGGGCAGATGGGGTGGACTTCGTGGAGGTCAGTGCCAGGTCCCTGGGAGTGGTGTCTGGCTTTGCGCTCCTGCACAGCTACACTCCTTTCTGTCCCCCACCCACCCCCCAGGCCCTGGCTGGGGAAAGCCCCATGGCTGTGCCTCTGCCACGGGCCAGCTGGTGCCAGAGAAGCCTGGACTAATAATAACCAAGCCTGACGTCAGAAACCGAGGAACCTGCTACAAACGGCCTAAGATAGCCACGCAGTCATTGCACAGAAAAACCAGGTACTTCCCGCATACCCACACCCCTGGACCCAGGCAGAGACCCTGGATCTTAGTCTCTGCCTGCCTAGCATGACTTCCCCCTGTGCCCGGGACTCTGATACAGAGGACTGGGTTTCCTGCCCTGGCACGCACACAGAAGCATCTGCATGCAGACCCACAGCAGCAATGCCCTACCTTGCAGAAGAATTCACAGAGATCTGGTGGTGGATGGTTGTTCTCCAGCAATGGGGCGATTGCCTGGGAGATAGGGAGCAAATGTGAGTGACAGGAACCAGGCGCCGGGCTGAGGAGAGCTGAGCTGACTTTTGGGGTATGCGAGGGAAGGTGGGTGGGGAGAGAGGGTAAATGCAGTCTGGCTACAGACCAGGGCACCCCCTCCCCTCCCAGGAGCTGAGCCAAGCTCCAGGTTGCTCTCTAAAGCAGAACCACACAAGAATGCATTTAATGCCAGGGCTTTCATGGTGTGTACATGTCCATCCAGATACATTCAGATCAACAGCCCTAACAGAGAGTAGACATCCCAGTGGGCGCCAAGCACAGCTGACCCTGAAAACCCTTGATTCTTCTACCTGGGTAGTGAACCAACCGCAGAGAGGAAATATTAAAACAACAGCAACAGCTTCCAGAATGCCCACATTGTCACCAATCCCTGTGCCCTTACACATTTCATGATCAATTCCTCTCCCTGTTCTGCTACCTGGTCAAATCCTACTGACTCTCTGAAGCCCAGCTTGGGCCCCACTGCCCCTGCCAGGCTCTAAAACCCATCCCCTAGTGCACAACTCTATTTTTCAGGGGTCACCCCTGTCTGCCTACAACACCCAAACGACTCCACATTGTTGAGATCATCTGCAGAGTCAGACACATGGCCAGAGCTTGGCACCCTGGTGTGAGAGGTACATTCCAGGGTCTAAGATCACCCTGAGGTATATTTTACCCTGAAGATGCCAACATCACAGTGGACTCTAAGAACACATCCTCTTGCATTCTGCATTGTAGGGAACAAACCCCATCTTCCATTTGGGGATTAACTATGAGACAAGTCCTGGGGCAAAAAAATGAGACTATTGGTCTTCTACCTTTGCTCATATTACACAGTCTTGCCCAGCTCCCCGTTGCAGACCCAGGAAGGGGAGTCGTTGCAGCTGCACTTGCTGTAAACCTGAGATACAGATCATAATGACCGTCTACCTACTCATCAGCAGCCACCATGGGCACCACTGTGTGCACTGGCAGGGGTGACCCGTGTGGTTGGACGGAAGAGACAAGGCCAAGCAAGGAACAGTGGCCAGGAGAGGGATGCGGGGTGCATGGAGCACGAGGCACTTACCACAATGATGTTTTCATGCTCCTGTGTAGTCAAGTTCGTGTTCTGTAATAGGGAAGGGAGAATGCAGGAAGAAACACAAGAAAACAAAGTTCAGGAGAACACTAGGACTGCCAGGGTTCACAGCGTCTCTAGCCCTGCTGCCCAGGACCCAGTGTGGCCAGCCTCACCCTGGTGCCTGTTCCACTGCCACCTGTGAGTGATGATACTCGGGCTGAGGGCTTGGGGGCTCAGCTTCTGCTCTGGCCCAGGGGGCCCCTACTCTACACTGGGATGCCAGAGACAGAGGGGGCTGGGCCCTGGGCCATACAAAGTGGCTTGGAAGCCACAGGCTGGTCTGTGATATACACATCCTAGAGTGTGTGGGGCTGGCTGCCTTTGAGATTCCCTGACGCCCGTCTGCTGCCCTGGCCACTGACCTGACAACATGCCTGGCTACTGATGAGGGAAAGGTGGCCTGGCTTGGTGGGGCTGAAAGGGAGGACAACGTACCTTCCAGTGGCATAGATGGCAGCCCTACGGGCCTGCCAGCCTCTCGACACCACAGAGGTTGGACATGAAGCCCTTGGCCCAGCAATTCCAGGTTTTTCCCCTGATGCATCTCACAGCCTCGGTTTCTACTTTTGGATGGATCGAGAATAGTCTCCAGCTAGGGAGGGCACGGCTTTTTGTCAGCCTGCTGTGATTGCCACGGCCACCTATTTCCACTTCTGGGTGCAACACCTCCAGGGCTGAGGCAGCCTCTCTGTTCAGCTACCATGCAGGGTGTGGGCCAGGTTCTTGGACTGAGCAGTAGTAGCTAACCTGGGCCCGTGGGAAGGGCAGTGCTCTATAGAGCTGGCAAGCAGCAAGTGGGAGCTCCCCAGGAATCAGGCACAGCTTTCAGGGGAGTGGGAAAGCACCACGCTAGCGGCCATGCCTGGTTTAAAGCAGGAGTTGTTGAAGTTGATGGCCCCAGAGGCAGCTCAGGCACATAATATTTGCGACGTGCTAAGAATAGCGCCTGGAGCAGGATAAACAGAAAGAAGTATGCTTCTGAGGCACCTGTGGCCTTGGAACTCACTGCGGCCCGACTCCCAGAGGGAACTTGTTTACCACCTACACCCTCCTGGAGGGCAGGGGGCTCATCTGTCTGCTAATGCCCCAGCCAATGCCGGACATGCTGCCCACACACCCATGTGGGCCCTCCAAGCAAGAGTCCATGGCACAGGCCCATAGTGAGTGGTGCTTGGTAGTGCTGGCTACACACTGTTTGAAAGACAACCTGGACTCTCCCCCAGTGCTGTGAAATTGCCTACGCAAATTTAAAGGATATGGATCCACTGGCTGCTTTGGGTGACCTGGAACCATGGGGGGCTCAAAAGGGCCAATTTTAGGACAGGGAGGTAAAAAGGAGGGGGACCCAGATGGGTTATCTACCCTAACCACCACAGGGCAGGTAGGAGGGGCCATGTTAGGATCAAACTGGACAGTTTCAAAGGTGACACTGTGACCCATGGGTCCAGAACCAGTGACTGCTACTCCCACATCTGCTAAGATTCACCGCCTCCCTGAAGGCAGCTCTGTCAGGGGCATCACACAAGCCTCACTCTCCAACTCCGGGCACGCCGCAGGTTGGGGAACGGCTCGCTTCCTCCAGCCCTGGTGAGCCCCCTCCAGGGCCAGGGTCCACATATTATGGAGGGAGGTGCAGGTGTGGGGGCGAGGCAGGGGCGGCTCACCTCTGAGAGCAATTTAGAGACGATTTCCAGTGGGGCCTGGTTGATGGAGTCATCCTGCAGCGGGGAGGTAAGGGCCATGTCCACCAGAGTCCGGATCTCTTTCAAGACCACTTCCCAGCGACTGGGGTTGCTCAGGACTTTCTTGTACTTGTAAATCTTTTTCTGGTCAGGAGAGAGAAACGCACAGAATGACATCACTGTGCTAACAAGGGCAGATGGTCCGAGACAATTCCACAATCAGACGTGCCAGGTAAACGCGGGTGCGAGGGACAGCCCCTGCAGATCCCTCCCAGGCAGGGGAACTGACACACGCGGTGGGCTTGCCCAGAGCCACCAGGCCTCAGCCAGGCCTGTACACGCAGTGGGAGAAACCTGCTGCCGCTTCCAGCAACACGCTCTGCGAGCCTGCCTTCTGCCGGAAAGGAAACCTTCCCATTCATGGCCCACCCAGGGGGCTCTGTGCCAGCATGAGCTGTTCCCAGGAGCCCCTGGGAGAGCGGCGTTTAGCAGAGCAATGTGATATAGGCAGCAGCAGCCCAGGAACCGAGCTCCTTTCAGCCCAGCGGGGACGGAGCCTGGAAGGGTCCTCCCTCCCCCGAAAACCCAGAGCTGTCTCAGCACCTACCCAGCACCGCCTCACCTCTGCTGAGGTGCTGCACTGGGAGTCACAAGGTGGATGGGTAGGGGCTGCCACCTCCCCCGACTAGAGGCCCAGCTGATCCGCCTCCTTGACATCATGGAAACAAGGGCCTCAGAAGGCGGGTCCCTGCCAAATGCTCCCTCCCAGTCCCCCCACTGGCTGGATACACTCCTTCATTAACTGCTCTGCTCCTCGGGGAAAGCCTGATTTTAATGTCACAGTGCCAGCAGTCAGCTGGGATGACATGTCACAACCTCTGAGCCAAAGTCTGAACAAGGGCTGAAGCAGGGACCCCCTGCTGGCTGGTGAGAAGCCCTGGAGAGGTAGGGGGCCAGTGCTGGCATAGGAGTTGGCTGTGCCTACTAAGTACCCCTGCCCTGGGCCCCAGACTCCCCTCTTGGAACCGAGACACCAGCTCGCACCGGCTCTCATGGTGTGTCACTCATCGGGGTCCTGCACCACAGCCAAGGGTGGAACAGAGCTCCCCTCAGAAACACAGCCACTACCAACTGAAGGGGAACACTGGCATGTCAGTGGTCACTTTAGGAAAATTCCAAAAGGGATGAAATGCTCCATGTGAATGGCCCGGCTTCCCCCTCCCCATCTCACACCCTACACTCTTCAGGGGCTTCTTACGGCAACTGTGGCAACTGGGGCCATTGCTACAGCACAGCCCTGGGGGACCTGCATCATGAGCAGTTCCCACTCTCCCCTCAGCGTTTCCTTCTCTCCTGTCCCTCCGTCTCTCTCCCTGCCTGTGTTCCCTGCCCATCACCTGTGCTCTGCAGTAGGCAATAGGAAGCCAGCTGCAGGAATGGGACCCACGGATGGCTCAATGTGCTTAGATCCTAAAGGACTGGCAGGTCCTGTCTGGGTGGACGTCCGGTGATGAGGCTGAACTCACGGTTATTGCACTAAGTACACCCTGCAGTTGCCACCAGCACTTTGGCAGGTTCCCAAAACTGAAGCTACCCTGCCTGGAGTTGTGAGCAGGTGGCTAATGCTGCCCTGTCTCCATACCTGTGCCCATGCATAACACAGTGGAGACACAGGGACCAAAGAGGGACCCTGCTCCAGGAGAGGAAGGCCCCTTTGAACCTTGGAGCGTGTGGCTTCTGTGTGAACTTAGACAACTGCTGACTTTTCCCATGGCCATGAAATGGTCACACAAAGTTCATTCTGTCTGAAGCCATAGAGCAGAGTGCAACGACACACGCACTGCCTCCTGCAGCTGACTCCAGACTTGGCCTGGGTTGAGCGCTCAGGGCCCTCTTGGATTAGTTGTAAGCAACTTCCCTTCCAAAGGATAATGGGCTTCATTCTTTTGGTTCAGACGATGTAGGCTCATTGTGAGAAATTCAAACCACATCGAGAAGCACAGAGTAGGGTAGTTTAAAAAAGGTCTCATAAATCCTGCCACCAGAAACAAGCACTTTCATACACAGTTACTCTCCTCGGGCCACTCCCCACTTACACTCTGCCGTCTCTCCTACTTGCCACACTGAGATGCACAGGCAATGTGTCCCTATCACTTGAGATCCCCAGTCCTGGTGGTGCCCATCACCCCCCTCCCAGCTGCCTGCCCCTGGATGCCCCAAGTCCTGGTTTCAGAGGCATCTGCAAGAGCAGGCTCGCAGACACTGCATTCAAAAGCAGAAGGAGCCAGTGGCTATGACAAGGGTCATATTTAGTGAGCACACTGTGTGAGCTCACTGTGCTGAGCATGGACAGATACGGCCACCCCTCACCTAGTCTCACAGTGACCCTATGAGCTGGGCACTTACTACTTCAGCAACCCAGAAAGCAGACCTAACACAAGGAACTGACCCAGGATGTGATTGGAGGAGAGTGTGGAGAAGACAGCCAATAAACAAGACACTGCAAGTGTGTGGCAAGGCCAAGCAGCAGCAGCATCTATTATGAGCAAAGGTGACACAGACCTGCTGGATACTCTCAGAGACAGGGCATGTACCCAAGAAACGAGGGACCTGGGCACCTGCCACCCATTCCCTCAACTCCCCATAACTTTTCGCTGTCCTGTGCCCAGGATATGAAACCCTACAGCCAGCGACCCAAGAGCTTGGGCACGGGCATAGGTGTCAGGAGCCTGAAGTCTGTGTGGCCTTGCATAAGGCCAGTGGGGTTAATATCACTATCCTCTATTTATGTATGAGGCAGCCACAGTCCACAGTGGGGATCTGACCTGCCCAAAGTCAAGCGGCCAGGAAGGAGCAAGTCAGAGGTTAAGACTGGCTCCAGTAGATGCCAAAGTTCTCATTCTTGCCATCACGTTGGCCAGTGGAGCTCGGGGGAGAGAGGCCGCAGATTCGTCAGGAGACCTCAGGGTCTGAGGGTCACGGACAAACCCATGAGGCTCTGTGAGGTGGAGGCCAGGTGAAAAGAAGGTGGAGGAGCTGCAGGAGCAGGAGGCGGAAGAGGGCCTATGAGACCATGAACATGGGGTGTGGGCAGTCAGCAGGGGGTGGGGAAGGCCTGTCTAGGGCCTGGCTCCTCTTCCTCAGTGGACAAGCTGGAGTGTCTCATCCCAGGAACTCGGCTGAGTTCATCAGCAATGAGTCATGCAGGGGCTGGGATCAGAACACTTCCAGAACCCCGACTCCAGACTCCCCAGGGCTGGACCCACGCTGCGCTAGGAGCCTCCAGTTGGGCCCTGTCTGCCACAGAGGGTGGATGGCCTAGTAGTTTGTTCCATGTGGACTCCATGGGCAATGGATTCCCTCAAGTAGGGGTAGACAGGGCCTGGGCACAGAGCTGGTATAGTATGAAACAGGTCTTAAGACCACCAAGCCCAAAAATGGCCTCGCTCCCTGCAAAGTATGCAGCTATGGGCCTGGCTTCAGGCTGGAGAGCTGCTGCAGTCACCTTGGGAGAGGTCTGCATGGTTTCTGGCCATGTCAGACATGTATTCCTCACACTACTCAGCTGTTCTGCCCATCAGACGAGGAAGAAAACTGTGCTCCATACAAAGACAGGCATGTGGATACCCAGGGGGCATCTTTTGTGAAGGGATGTAAACAGCAAACAGTCTGAATGCCCACTGACGAGGAATGGACACGCACAACCACATATAGCCAGACAATGGCACAGCGTTAGGCGGTCGAGAGACCTAAACTACTCATACACACAACCGGGTATACTGCTCCACCACATGCTGAACAGAAAACAGAGAAGCTAGGCACGAGAGATGCATTACATGGTCTAGAAAAGGCAATGTGGGGGCTGGCACTGTGGCATAGAAGGTAAAGCCACCACCCGTGAGGCCGGCATCCATATGGGCAATGGTTTAGGTCCTGGCTGCTCCACTTCTGATCCAGCTCCCAGCTAATACACCTAGAAAAGCAGCAGAGGATGGCTCAAATGCTTGGGCCCCTATCGCTCAAGTCCCAGGTTTGGTCATTGGGATCATCTGGGGAGTAAACCACAGATACATCTCTTTGTCTGTCCCACTCAGTGATCTTGACTTTCAAATAGATAAATCTTTAAGAAAGAAAAAAAGGTAAAGCTGTAGGCAAAGACAGTACAAGTGTCACCGCAGGAGCTGGGAGGCGGTGACAGGAATGTGACCACCACCAAGCACAGGCACATGTTCAGAGTTGGCAGATATGATCTAACAGCTGATTACAGTGACAGCTATACGATCACACATGCACAGACGCCACTTAGCTGCACACTTGCAATCAGTCAATCTCACGGTATGCAGAACAGTCTTCAATGAAGCTGTGTCAGCACAATGTCATCCCAGGGAGGTGCCGTCACAGCACAACAAAGATGGCACAGCCCAGCAGTACAAGCGCAGCTTTTACAACATGCAGACTTGAGCACAAATGGGATCTCCACTCACACTCCTGCATATCTTCTGCATCATCCATCATCCACTCACCCCCTCTATCTGCCTGCCCATCAGTCTAATGACCCACAGCCACGACTGGGAACCATCTGTTACCCTGTACCATGGTGCTAATTGATCAAGCCCTGGTGCTCCTGGAACTCAGAGTGGATGCCCATGCCTCAGTTTCTCCACTTGCAAACCAGAGAAAGAGCAAACACCGCCAAACACTGGCTCTGACTACTACGCAAGATAACGTTACATGGAAATCAGCAGCCCAGCTGCTGGCTAAACAACAATCACGCTCAGCATCACCTACCCAGTCCTGGGTGCCAGTGGCCAGGGCAGGCAGGCTGGCAGGCTCAGGAGGGTTCCCAGCCCCTGCGGCTGAGCCCCACAGCTATCAGCTGACAGAGCCAGCAGAGTCCCTGCTTCCCGTCTGGCACAGTTGCCACTCCATCGACACCCTCGCTCTCCGCTTGTCAGGGAGCATCGTTACCTGGGCAACACCCGCCATCTCTCCGGTAACCGCTCTCTCAGCAGAGGCAGGCACAGACACTAGGGTCCTCAGGCCTCTCGGCTGCGCCACAGGAGACGAGCTGTCACCAGGAATGTGCCCCTAGCGAGGAGGGGCGTGGCTTGGAATGTGCTGGAAGCCTCAAGAGGCTGGGACCG